TTTATTGGCTATTCTGTTCATGAAAATCAGTAACAAGTAAATACTATAATGAAGTATTCGAATAATGTAAGAAGGCGGTGTTAAGGGCACAGTTCGGCTTGGTGGGGCAATCCATTACGTAGCAGCTTCCCGTGTGTTTACAAGTCTCGCCAAAATACGACCTGTTAATTAACATGAACTAGCAGGTGCCAGCGAATGTGCCAAATGCCACTCCTCCCCCCCCTCACGTTGAGCAAGAACGCCTGAGCTTCCTCTCTATTGTAAGCCTTATTCGATAATTTGTACACCCACCATGTAAAGAGCGGTGTCCCCGCATTCAGGGTATGGGAGGAAACCGCTTCTCAATGGCATTATTTTTTGAGTTGCGAGCGAAACAAGTCCTACCTCATGTCGGAAAATCTTGAACGACTTCACATCCCATTCCTCGTTCGGTATAAATGAGGCCAGATTCACTTCAGGGTCAGCATAGTAATCCAACGCCGACATGGAGTTCGTCCAACTGGATATTGTCAACGTGCAATTCTGGCGATCATACGGGAAGAATCTGAAATGTAGCATTGTTTCTGCTTATCTCTCCTGTTCACTCTCCACTTTTCTGGACGCATTCTACTTCCATTCAGAATCGTAGTGGCTTATTGAATGCGATGTGGCCTATACAATGACTTGCGGTGGCCAGCCGATGTACAAGTCAGTGTTTTATCCTCCCAGACGAATCTGGTACCAATTTACCGTCCCCGGAGGGTAGAAGGCTTGGTTGGCCTGGGCGGGAGTCGACCTGGGATTCGAACCCAGGACTGGGCGTGTAAGTGCACTCATCTAGCCCTAACACCACCTCCGCATTCAGTCGCTTGGTTATCATCGACTACAATCAGTTCAGAAGTGGTTTCTAGCCCAAGTGGTAGAGATGCGAAGGGCATCCCGATAGGTGACTGGGTGAGACTCATAGTAATTGTTTCTTTGTCATTTGGGCCTGCCCTCTGCTTGTATTTAAAGGCAGTTGGCACGATAATTTTGAGTAGAGCTTGAAAAGCAGCCATGGTGACTAGTAGTTCAAAGACGGTGAAGAAATGAGGCGAAACGGTGGGGAAACAGGGAAACGGGGCTCTATTTCCACGCTCTACTGCGGGAGTGGACGAGTGAACGGTGGGGCGGGCGCTCGTGGACGAGTGTCCCGCTGAACCGCTCACTGCTGGCTTTTTGCCAGCCGACGTCAGCTGAGCGATTCGATCGATGAACCCATTTTATTGCTTTATCACTACAGTTTAGGGCAAGATTGCAGAAAAAGTCTTAATATTAAGTACGAGTTGATTCGAGAGTTCTTAAAATAAAAGAATAGCAGTGTGTATCATCATTGTAAATGCAATATCATGATCACATTGCGTTTCAAAGAAGATCAGATATGTTTAAAGGCATTAACGCATGAGAAATCTTTACAACTGCAGAATCACCCACCTAGTACAGTAAAGTCTGGTCAAATCAACGATGGATTAAAAAAATCGATGAAAAGTAATAAATAAACAGCAGTACGATCGATCGCACTAGTTGACACAAAACAAAATGCCCCTGAATTCTTCTTACCGCATTTCTTCTGCTTTTGAAAATAAGAAATAAAATCTTAATCGACATAGAGGACTCAGAGCATTCAAATAAACTTCATAAACATGTCTCATAGTAGCTAAAAAAATAGAAAACGCACAAATGCGCAGTCTACTGAAGAAGGGGATTTTTTTCCTACCGTCACGGCCACATTCACTTGAGGATCCCCACACGAAAAACGGTCCAAAGCGGCACGTCCTCGTGGAGGGATCCTATACGTCCAAAAGTAGGCGGGCGGGCAAGGAAGGCGTTTGGGACGTAAAGTTGTTGCTCAAAGGGGGCGTTTATAGATGGTACTCCATGGAAATGGCTTCACGCAGTGCCTGTCCGAGGTCACGGAATTCCGTTAAGCCAGTTGTGTAAACCCTAGACCTGTATAGCGATTTATCGTGCCAATTGCCTTTAAGGGAGGGCTGCAGCACTAAGGAAAGCACAAGGCTTGGCTCCGCCCACACAACTAGCGTGTAATTCGCCTACAGAGCACCTCCGCAGTGACCCCATAAGGAATTCTGAGGAGATAATGATTCTCTCTGACCTGATATTGAGTCGACATGTGATCGTGTATATAGCTGGATAGAGGAACGACAATTGTGAGCCATTCTCGCCTTTCCAGTATTGCGATTCAACTTGGATGTTCATATAGCGCTCAGTCTCGTCACGACTCATCTTGACGCTGAAATAGTGCACTAACTGATGATGTCGAATGGTATTTTGGTCTTAGTAGAGGATATTGTGACTCTTCTGAATTCTCTATGTAATTGGAAATAACGAAAAACTGGTGATTTTCAGTGAAGAACCACTTTCATGGAGAAATTTTTTGTGAAAATAACGCTCGCACCATGTCATGTACTCACAGGAAAATCCCTTGCCGTTTTTTCCACATGGAAAGGGAGATTTGGGAGCCGTGTGCCTCAGGAGGGACCATTCTCCATCGAGGCTTAGTATCGTCATGTTTTGACACGACAGAGACACGTCAAGCTGAGTTGGCAGGATGCTGCACATGTTCTGACGTTGACTAAGCCATATCAGAACATGTCACGCTGCTTGGGTGAATGATTGAGGCGGTCATTTGGCGCGATCGCTCTGCCAGTGACATGTTATAGCAAGTTTAAACGAGTTCTTCAGGCCGAAGTACTCGTCCGAATCTTCTAGTGTGCTGAATTTTCGTCAATGACTACGTACACGAAGCAGTTAACATAGGCATCCGTGCGGAACAAGGATAAGTGCGGGACAGTCGTAAGTTGTCGTGTATCGTATTGTATCGTGCGACGCAATTTCTCGGTGTGCACCGGCTGGTCGATTGGAGCAGCGAACTCACGTGAATTCAAGCTG